TCTATACATTTTATTTACTTGCATGGCAATTAACTGTTTATAGAACACAAATACCATTAATATGGTACAATTACACTAATCTGCATTTGAAGAAATTGTCTTGCAGGAAACAGTAATATGCTTAAATGTGAATCTTGCCAGGATCTACATCTTAGTAGAGTCTCTGGAGCATGTCTCATTTCTAATCTGATTATCAGGTTCCTATACTCTGGATGTACCACAGGAATTTCATTCTTCTGATGTGTTGCAAGTCTTCCTGCCTTTACGTATCTTTACGTATTAAGGCTATTTCTTGGCCCTGATTTAGTTTTGCTCCACCTTGTCTGCCAGATTTCTACTGTCATATTTTAAGGTCAAAGTTGCTATGTTATCCGTTTTTCCTCAAGGATATATATATATATTTTTTGCCATGAGTCCTGGTACTCCAGGTATTTACACACATTTCATTTTCCATGTTATTTTTGCATTCATTTCAATACTGCCTAAAACTTCCTGTATGGAGTAAAAGTACGGAGTTCACTGGTCAGAAATTGGTTCTGATGAAAGTACTAGTCAAAGTCAAAAATACTGAGTTCATAATGTGTGTTTCTCTATGTTAGGTGGTTATATTTCCTGAAGTCAAAACAGGTTCTATTTACACTTAATATAAGATTTTACAAACTGAATTCTATGTCTCTTACTTTTGGAAGTAGTATCTGTGTCTTTTCTTGTGTGTAGACGTAAGACCGTTTAACTATGTTGACTAAGTTTTTAAATGTTCTTTGTTGAATTTAAAACTCATGCTCCTAAATAAAACTAGGTACTCATTACTAAAATGCGTAGCTGATTATAAAAATAGCTGTCTTACTTGATTGTCCACTTGTACAATTCTAGATTTTCTTGATTACTGATTGAATATTTCCTTAGTTATTTTGCCATAGTTTCGATGCTAAGAAAAACTCCACCACACATTCCTCAGGGCTTCTAGCCTGTTTGAAAATAAAGCTTTAGGACAGGAACAGGCACTTTTCAAAACATGAAATATGACTGGTCAACTGACACATGAAGAAATGCTCAGGACCCCTGGTGGTCAGGGAAATGCAGATAAAAACCGAACTGGGGCTTCATTTCACCCCAGTTAGAATGGATATCACCCCCAAATAAAGCAATGAATAGCAGCAAGAATTTGAAGAAAAGCATACCCTAACACACTCTTGGTAGGAATGTAAACTAGTATATCCATTATGGAAGGCAGTATGGAAATTCTTCAAAAATCTGAAAATAAATCTACCATATGACACAGCCATCCTATTTCTGGAAGTAACCTAAGGGAAACGAAATAATTATCTGAGAGATGTGTGTGCCCAGATATTCTTTTACAGCTCAATTCACACCAAAAAGTGCTGTCAGTCCAAATGTCAAACTGATGACCGGATAAAGAAAATGTGGCATAAACACAATGGAACACTACTCAGCCATAAGGAAAATAAATGAAAGCTCATCTTTTGCAATAAAATGGATCCAGCTGAACTCCATCATGCTAGTGAAATAAGCCAGTCCAAACAGATAAACATATTAGCTTTTGATAGTTCATAGTTTCCATAGAATATAAACAATTTGTAAGAATGAAACTGTCATCTTAAGATTCGATTATTGATTTTTACTTCTGCCTAAACTCCTGTGGAACAGTGGAGTTTCTTTCTACTTTTTACTTGCTTAACACTGTTACTGGCACATTATTAATATTATTTCAAAGTCAATTCCTGTTATTGAAAAAAAAACTAAAGGGATGAGGGAAGGAGGGAAATATGATTATCTTAGAATTATATGGGCCCAGCACGATGGCTCAGTGTCTAAAATCTTCACTCTGCAAGTGCCACGATCCCATATGGGAGCCAGTTTGTGTCCTGGCTGCTCTGCTTCCCATCCTGGTCCCTGCTTATGACCTTGGAAAGAGGGATGGTCCAAAGCCTTGGAACCCTGCATCCACATAGGAGACCTGGGGGAAGCTCCTGCATCCTGGCTTCTGATCAGCTAAGTTCCACCTACTATGGTCATTCAAGGAGTGAACCAGTTGATACATCTTTCTATTTCTCCATAAATCTTATATACCTTTCTAATAAAAATAAGGTTTTGTTTAAGAGTACGTATTAAGTACATGGAAATCTATATTCTTCATGAACAAAATTGTTATGATTATAAAAAATACACACCAAAATTGTAATCGTATGGTAAAGTGACAGAGAGAGCAGGAAATTTTCCATCACTGGTTCATCCTCTTGATGGCTGCAACAGCTGGTTAGGTGAGCATTAAGTTGGGAGCCAGGAACTATACCCAGAGCTTCAACGTGGGTAGCAGCAGCCTAGGGTCTTAGTCTGTAAGCTGTCTTCTCAGGCACATTAGCAGGAAGCTAGATCAGTAAAGCATGACATCAGATGTCTGATGCGTGATTCCCACAGGGCAAGCAGCGGCTTAACCCCTATGCCACACACCTGCACATGCCTCCTCCCTCTGTCCTCATCTATCTTTTAAATCACAGGCAAGTGAAACAAAGCTTGGAAGTGTGCTGGAGTCATCCTTCAGCTATAATAGCATCATCACTCAGGGTTTTAACTTTGTGCCTCTCTCAAATTAAAGCTGTTTCTATTGTGCTATTTAACTTTTACATGCAATGTGCTGCTCTAGAGCTGAAACACAGTTAGCAAAATTAAAGCCATGAATATTTGCTGTAATGAGACCATTGTGTTTTTCACGAATGACACACAAATGTGTGAGATAGGGTTCTCTGTTCTGTACAAAACACACTTGAAACCATCTCGGAACTTCAATTTAGATTTTCATCAGTATTTAAAATTAATCCTCAATGGATAAGAAATATTAAGAAATACAGGCTTAAAGAGCACCAAACAATTTGGCACTCTTTAATATAGCAAGCCAATTCCCTTTATTCGAAGGCAGACGTTTTGCAAAGCAAAAATTCTCTAATTAAACCCAAGCAATAAGAAGAAAGTATGTTTTTTAACGATTCAAGGAGGAAATTCACTTGCAAATGATTAGCATGTCAGCGGTGTGAACAACCCTGGGAGCTTTCTCAGTGGTTCCCTTCAACAAAGACATCACCTCCACTCCCAAATCCCCTCAGACAGTGTGAGCCAATATCTTTGTCAATTAGCTATTTCCATATTGAGAAAAGACATTATTGACAATAACGTATCCCTTAGGTCTCTGTCCCCATTTTGCCTACAAGAGTAAATTTTGGGAAAATCCTTAAGTTCTAAAATGGTTATTTTCAAAATTTTGTTAATTATCATCCAACAAGAAAGAGAGAAACAGCTTTTCTGCCTGCTGGTTCATTTCTGAAATGCCTGCAATGGCTGGTGATGGGCACAGCTGAAGGCAGAAGCTTGGAACGCCATCCTGTGTCTTCCAGTGGTTGGCAGGAACACTAGTGGGCCATCACCTGTTGTCTCCAACTGTGTGGATTAGCAGGAAGTCAGAACTGGAAGCAGAAATGAACTCAAACCCAGGCACTTTGATATGAAATGCAGGGCTAACTACTGTGCCAAGTGACTACCCCATAAAACAGTCATTGATCAAACTACTTAGGCATTCTCTGCAGCCTTCTCATCAATATAGTAGAAAATGTTGTAGTTTCATCTGTCATTCTCCTGTTCATATACAGTTCATTTAAAATTTGACATTAACTCTATACTGATAAGGAAACAGTGTGAGAGGCTTGACAAGCACAGAACCTACTTAGATAACGCTGGTATCTAAAACAAATGGACAAATAATAATGCATAACACTGTCTCCAAGATGAGAGCAAGATAAAAACTGTTGGGTAAAAGGCTCTTGAGAGTGTCATGTGCCCCAAAGGAAAAATTAAAGTGGAAATCTATTGTTTATTAGGTATTATTACTTAATTCATTAATTCATTTTGGATATAACTTTTTACATAAATTTAAGGTCACCATGGATTAGTATATTCACTTAAAATAGAGAATATTAACCTCAATCAAGGTAAATCAATGAATTTTAGAATATGTTTTTCTAATCTGCTCTTGTTAATTATTAGGGGAATAATGGTATCACTGTATACATTCCTAAAAAACAAATCCTTTTGCGCTGATCAAATATGTCTGTGGTAGTCAAACCTTGCAATATTTTTATTCTCTTGAAAACACTAAGAAGAACAGATTTAAATGATTAACAGACATATGAAAAGATGCTCAGATTCCTTAGTCATCAGGGAGATACAAATGAAAACCACATTGAGGTACTACACAACTCTAATGAGGTTGGTCTACATTCATAACTGTGACAACACCTGCTGGCGTGGATGTGGGGAAAAAGGTATCCTACTTCACTGTGGTTGAAGTGTAAGCTAGTACAACCACTATGGAAATCAGTTTGTAAAGTGCTTAGAGAATTGTAAATAAGCCTGCCATATGACTCAGCTATCCCGTTCCGAGGAATATACCCAAAGGAAATGAAAACTGCATATGAGAAGGGGATCTGTAATCCTATATTTACAGCAGCACAATCTACAACAACAAAGACATGGAAACAATGCAGATGCCCATCAAAAGAGGAGTGGTTAGAGAAACTATGGTACATCGACTCCATGGAGTAATTAGTTATCAGAAAGAATGAGATTATTCCATTTGCAACTAGATGGTCCCAACAAGGGACCATTATGCTCAGTGCAATAAGTCAGTCCCCAAAAGACAAATGCCATCTGTTCTCTCTAATATAAGGAAACCATCAGGCAAATTGGCATGTATACTGATGAAGTAACAGACTACCATATTCAGATGTGAATACACGATACAACATGCACCCCTACTTCCAAATCAAAGACGGATTCCCAATGAAACTGTTAGATATATCTAGACAATGGGATGATGGACTGTCTGACACTGTGTCAGGGCACACTTAAATAACAGGCTGATGGAATTACAACTCCTTATGAAGGACTATAATAATGTAGCAAAATGGGGAAAATCAGTCAGTGGGATGGGAGTTTGGGGGTGGGAATCTCAGACTACAGAATTGTACCATAAATTTCAAAATTTAAAATAAAAATGTAAAAAACACCACTAAGTTGATTTCGGTTTTTCCCTTATAATACATGTTTTACTGATGTCCTCTGGAATTGTTATGGAGATAAACTTTGTATAATAGATATGGTAACTTAAAATATTAAAATATGTAATTTTATACAACAGCTACAGAACTGATTAAAAAAATTCCGTGTCACAATATTTGTACATATTGAAGAATCTTAACTGATGAATCATCATTTGCTTACTGGCCTTGCATGCGCTATTAATCAGGCAGTCAATTGTTGAACAGCTAACTTGCTGTCTTCAAAAAAGTCCCACTATTGTCCAAATGAATGCTGAAAAGTAGGGAAACAGTGATTTTTGTCTTACAGACAAGTTACATCCAAAAAAAATTGACAAAGGCCAATTTTTCCTTTGCACAAAACTGATGAAAGTTTATGGATAATAGCAATTATCTTTAATGCCTGTGCCCACAAACGGATTTATAATCACATGAAAACTCCATAATTTACTGAGCAAGTTCAAGTAACATTCCCTTCTTAGCCCTACAGCGGTGTAAGTAATTTTGACAGAGAATTAGTGACGTAAATGAAGTAGATCTCATAAACCGGAAGGAGAAAAGTGAGTTGAAAGTTGTGAATTGCTTCCCAGTTGCGGTAAGAAATATCCCAATTATTGGACAGACAACGCTAAATTTCATGACAGAAATGAATCTTACTCATGTTCCCAAGTGGAGGAGATGCTGGGGCAGGGATGAGTGATTTAGAGTCGGATGAGCTGTGTTGCTACACTTGCTAAAGCAGTTCTTGCCAGAAAAAAATAAAATAAATATGGAAAACATGGATTCAATCCAAGGAATGTCTCAAATATAGATTTCTTAAGAAAAGTGCAGGAGTGTTTCCATATCTTTAAATGGTAGTTTTTAAAGAGTTGTCTTTAAAATACTTGGGTGAGTCAGAATGTCACAATTGCCCACTTTCCAGCACATTCTACCAATTAGAATTCTTGGGAAATCACGTGTACCAATTCTTCAATTTCTGGCAAAGAGGAGGTACTGAACCCTTTTCCATAGGCACTGTAGCACTGATATTGTTTCATAGTTTATTTGAACACATTTATTTTGCATCAATACAAAAATAGGGAGAAAGAGGTCACCCTTCAAAGGCTTCAGTAGTTATTGATTTTAATGAAATTCACTGTTTATATTTATGCTAACGCATGTTTAATTGCTTGCTTGCCTTTTTTTCTCATCTTAATTATTCTGATTGCATTACCAGCAAGTTTTCACATGATCTATTGTAAATTTCCCTACGTTTCCCTTTTCCATGAAAATTATTAGCATGAGTTTGACAATTTGTTAGCCTAGTATATTTCAAAAATTCTCATGAAAATTTAAGTTGGTGCAAAAATTTGACAACCAAGCATATCAGGGCCTTCAAAATCACGAAACATGCATTTTGAATAAATTATTCATGGATTTCAAATTCTGTTGCACCAAAATTCACTTATTTTAAATTACCTTCCATGATTTTTTTTTGAAATACCCTCATATTATAATCCTGGTAGAATTATTTTATGCAATATGTTTTTTGTCTCAGATGTTACACACACATTCTGTTTTGATAGCACTGATCTCGTAAATGTCCTCCACTTGTGCAAAAAAATGTAGTTAATATCAGATTCAAGTGGCTTAGGGCACCTTTACAAAATATGCATGCATGCACTCAGACTCTAATAGTTAAACTCCATTTTTCCTCAACAATTTATACACATAAGATTATGCTACATTTGAACTATCTTTTGAGCATGTTCCCTTTGATTGGCATTTGAAAAACACTAGAAGATGTCACTGTTATTCATGCTCTTATATTCCAGAGCTCTCCAAGTTTTCATGAATGTACTACTGTTTCTCTATAAAGCTAGACAGTTCCTCAGGCAATTTTAAAGAGAACATCTATCACCTCTCTATACACACACACACACACACACACACTTGCTAATGCACATATATATATACATATATACACACATATGACATACAAGAGAAATTAGAACACCTTTAAATGGGTTGTATAGCTATTAGAACCTATAGCTTTTCATTACTAGATGGATAACGAAAAATATAACAGAGGTTGACACAGGACGTGTGGTGAGAGCTGAAGGCAGTGAGTGTCTAGTGAGATGCAGAAGCAGGCTTCCTTTCCATGCTGGCTGGTGAAATCAGCAGAGCTGTAGGAAAGCCAAGGTCCCGTTGCACCCAAGGTTGCATGGGTGGGTCTAAGGCCATTAATACAAATTGATCTAAAGTGTTTCTGAGTTTCCAACCAAACCTCCAATCTAACCATCGTCAGCTCATTCCTTGTTGGTTTTAAGCCAAAGTATTATACAGGAAACTGTGAAGGTCAGAGGAGGACCCAACTTCCAAAACTCACCGCTTGAAACGTAGACCGTATAAAACACACACTTACAACACCTATGCCATCACTGTCTGCAAACACGTAACGCAGGAGGCAGGCGATCCTCTGCGGTGAGAACTCCCAACCTCAGTTTTCTTATTCCACAGCAACAATGGAAGGAGTGAACTGAAGCCCAGGCTAAGTGGAAGCAGCTTTACTGCTTCCCAATTGTGTGACATTTCTAAGTCCTTTGCTGGATTTTCTTTACTAAAAAAAAAATATCTTAGTTGATTAGGGCACAAAGGGTCAAGGGCTACAGGAAAGTGGGTAATACCATGGATTTTTTTTTAATGGGCTCTTTCCCTGTCCGGGATAGGGGCTGCTTACATGACTCTGCTTCTTTGACTTCTTTGAATTCCAGAAACTTTTTACTTGGTAGTTTTCCCTGCCTAGCTTTTGCCTGTATCAATCTTTCTATTTTATGATTTTTCAATGTTTTACTTCAGTAAGGACTTCTTCCATCCTTACACGTCCCTTTCTCACCCGCACCGTTGTATCCTTTAGTATGTCATGCTTGGGTCACCCTCCACCCTGCCCTGCACTGTCAGTTTTCTTTAACAAAGGCCTTCTCTATTATATTTTTCTCATGTTTGTAATTTTCTGGCACCTAGCACGCATTCAGTTAGTATCTTTTGAGTGAATGAACTTGATAACCTCTTCCAGGCCCCTTCAGACAAAGGGGACGATAAAGAGGAGATAAACTTTGCTTTTCTTGCCAACGATCTTCCGTCACACTAGGTGTGTTCGGCCATGGCAATAGGCTTTTCTCAGCCTTGTATATTTTCTTCTCCATGTGTTCCCCCCATCACCAGCCCCTAACATAGCTGAGGACATCAACTATAGTTCAGCACAATTTTTACTGAAGATGAGCCAGATTGTATCTGATTTACACTCATACCCTCAGATGACTTCATTATGTGGTTCTTTGTAAGATATGATATTCAGATAATCCTCCCAGCTTTGATACACAAATATATTTCAGAATGTGGATGTCATCATTTCTCTGGAGCATCCTGGTAGATGTGCATGGGTCAACATCCATTGGGAAGCACTAAGTGAGAAGAGATAATGTCCTAGCTTCTATGTTTCCCACCTGGAATCTCACAGTTTACACAAGGAATACAGTGAAACACAATTCGGATGCCTGCATTTAGGCAAAGGGAGACAGGAATTTGGAAAGCCATGGGGAGTAAGTGACAACTGGGTGACCTAATTGGGGCCACTGAGACTAATGATACAGCATGTAATGAGCAAGCGCATGCACAGAGCAGGCTTTCATGTTCACCCAGGAAGAAATCGGCACCAGAGACCCATATTTTGCAGCAGCCTTCAATTAGATATTTAAAATTCATGAGCTTGATCAAAGTTCGGTAAGGCAAATTACTTCTCCTCTGAGCTGGACCGTTATGTAGCATGGAAAGAGGTAGCACGGATAAATTTTAACTGGAGTATTAAATTAAAAGATATGAACATAGGAAATAACAGCTTTAGAAGTGTTACCTTTTCCTTGATAACTGCAACTAAACAGGAATAAAAGATTACGTAACACCCATCGACTCAAAGTCGATGATTATATTTAACATCGCTTGAAATCCCCATGAATGTACAAATTCGGGAGAAGCTTGGGAAAACCTGGATTTTCTGTTTGTGTTTTTCTAATCATGAGCCAAGGATGCAAGAAAGAAATGTCTCTGAAATAATCATATTGGTATTCGAGAAAGTTAACTAAAATATCGGATAAGAACCCAATCATACTTTGTTAACAGATTCATATTGATTTTTTTTAAAATTGTGCAAATAAACTGCAGATTCAGGTTTCAGAAATACACTTCAACAGAATAGAGGAACCAGGCTTTCTGCCTCAGCTTTCCAGCCAGAAGATAATGGAGTCTTAGGCTGTTTGTCAAGAACTTCCTGCTTCAGAATTGTCCAAAGCAAGCTGCCAGCCAGAAATAAACTGGAAACCCTCAAGATTTTTCAATTCACAGATCTTCAGAAACGCACAAAACACTGCATCAGTGCCTCTGGTTGCCAGGAGTGGGTATGCGGCCATCTATTTATAATATCTTACAATACAGCCTCCGTCTACTGTCTAGCTTACTGGGTACAAAAGAGCTTGAGGTGGTGAAACATAATGAGGCTGGAGACTACAAAGTAGCAGCAGAGGATGCTCTGATGTTCAGAAATAACCACAATAGAAATCCTTCTGCTCAGAATGTAGTGGAAATCGCGCTTCCCGGTGCCCCGTCCTATCCCAGTGTGAATCTCAAAGGCAGAAGGTAGAGGGGGTGCAGTCACGTGTGCATGGTCCACTTGTTTCTGCTTCACCTTCATTTGGCAACTGCCTATTAACATAACGTGCTAGTTTATTTGCGATGGTATTCCATAGTTCCTCCTACTGCACCAAAATGAAGTTTATGAACTATTTAAAAAATAGTTCATCGAACTGGAGCAGCCGCAGAACTATTTTATAGAGATTTCCTATTTTTATACAAGTTACAGTTAATATTCTCGCAACTGTCAAAATGGATTGAGTTTTTATTCAATGTGTCAACCATGAAATTACTAGCTCAATATGACATTCCAAATAAATATTGGAGCAGGGTTTTAAATAAGACAACCTGACTTCATATCTCTTACTTTTCATGAACAGGTGAAACTGCATCACACCAGTTACTTAGTGACATGTCAGAATATGTCTTCCTGTGGAGTGTGACCTCACACATGCATGATCATTATCTAGGAATCTCTAACCTTGCTGGCGAGATGACCTGTTGAAACTCTAAAGGTATGCTAAGTGTACTCAACTTCCTTATACATAACCGGTTTTTATAGATGTGTTAACCCATACAAAGCCGATTTTACCTAATGGATGTTAACTCTATTTTGCAATTCTCTATTTATAATCATTTGCAGTTTATCAAGCACTAGACTTAACGGCTGCAAATAATTAGCTAGTTAGAGTTCACCGCCACAAATTGAATTTTGCTCTGCACATGTACATTTTATTGATGCCCGCCCTGAACAGCAGGAATAAACACTTCCTAAGAGGGGGCGATTCAGGGGCCCAGCACGGTGGCGCAAGTGGTTAAGTCCTCGCCTTGCACGCCAGGGATCCCATATGGGCACTGGTTCTATCCCGGCAGCCCCACTTCCCTTCCAGCTCCCTGCCTGTGGCCTGGGAAAGCAGTCGAGGACGGCCCAAAGCTTTGGGACCCTGCACCCGTGTGGGAGACCCGGAAGAGGCTCCTGGCTTCGGATCGGCATAGTATCGGCCGTTGCGGCTCACTTGGGGAGTGAATCATCGGACGGAAGATCTTCCTCTCTGTCTCTCCTCTGTATATCCGCCTTTCCAATAAAAACATAATAAAAATAAATCTTTAAAAAAAAAAAAAGAGGGGGCGATTCCAGTGGTTCCCTTGCTAAAATAAGCGTCACGGATACTACTGCCTGCTTAGATCAGAGACACCAAAGGTCATCACTGTTCCTGAAGTAGGAACTCAAAGGTATCCAGATATGACGGGTGTATCATCCAGACTGCCATTGTTCAAGGCCAATGTTTGCACTTTCTATGGCCTGAGTAGGTAGGGATATGAACGATGTACCTTAAAGCAGATGCATTATGAGCTCAGGACCACGAGCCGACCCCTGCACCATGTGACGAGGTGTTTTGCTCATCACATGAGGTATACGGAATAGATTGCTTTCTCACTCAACAGCTGCTAGGAAAATCCATTTCTTAAGTATCTCAATTTTCTACGTAGTGAAAAGGCAACTTTGAGAATTATGCAAGCAACCTTATTAAGTAGCACCTTATGAAGTGAGCAGTGTACAAATAAGATATTAACGCTTACATCTTTCTAGTGTCAAGTAGGGCTCATGCCCTTCAAGTGATTACACAACTATTAGGGAGTGGAATTTCATTTAGATTTTTATTTTGTTTTCATTGGAAATGTAGACTAACAAAAGAGAAAGAGGAAGATCTTTCGTCCATTGATTCACTCCAACTGGCCATAACGGCTGAGACTGAGCTGATCTGAAGCCAGGAGCTCTTTCAGGTCTCCCACACAGGTGCAGGGTCCCAAGGCCTAGGGCCACTCTCAGCTGCTTTCCCAGGCCACAGGCAGGGAGCTGGATGGGAAGTGGGGCTGCCAGGGCACAAATCGGTGCCCATATGGGATCTTGGCATATGCAAGGGAAGGACTTTAGCTGCTAGGCTACCATGCAAGGCCCTGAAATCTCATTCAATACTACTTCTTAGGCTAGGATTTGATTTTTGTGGGGAAAATCAAATCCTATGTTTACAGTGAAACAGCACCTGGGAAGCCAGAGGAAATATGGCCCAAGTGCTGGGCCCCTGCCAATTGTGTGGGAAACCTGGGTGGGTTTCCAGGCCTCTGGGTTGGACTCGATCCATGGGCAATTTCAGGGAGTAAACCAATGGGTGGATGGCTTCTCTTCACTCAGTCTCTAACTTTATCTTTCAAATAATTAAAACATATATACTTAATATTTTAGAAGTTATTGGATAAGACAGACAGGAAGAGACAGAGGAAGATCTTCCATCCACTGATTCACTCCCAAGTGACCACAACGGCTGGACCTGAGCCCATCTGAAGCCAGGAACCTCCTCTAGGTTTCCCACGTGGGTACAGGTTCCCAAGACTTTGGGCCATCCTTCACTGCCTTCCCAGGCCACGAGCAGGGAGCGGATGGGAAGTGGAACTTCTGGAATTAGAACTGCTGCCCATATGGGATCCTGGCACATGCAAGGTGAGAACTTTAGCCACTAGGCTACAGCACTGGGCCCTAAAATATTTTTTTAAATGTTCTGTATTGAAGAGGAATTATAAGTTTCTTTCAGATGTCATAATTAATTGTGCTTACCAATTGCCAGTGAGTTAGTCAAATTGGCCAGTAATTTGCCTACGGAAGTTATAATAATGTAGTTTAAAAGCAATTATATTGCACCCCTGAATGCTACATTTGTAATGTTGGGGATACTCCCTGGCTTCAGGTAGAATTTATTTCTCTGGTTTTTGACTCCTAGAAAGAATGCAACTCAGCAGGAAGAGTAACTTGAACTTACACTTGGAGAAGTATCTGAGAATGACTTTTTACTGTGGAAGCTCGGGATGCAGGTCTATACCACAAGCGCCCTGGGAATGCCCTATTCCCAGAAAGTCTCCTCATCGAGTAATTCTTACTGTTAATCCCCTCCTGGGTCAGAGAACAAATTAAAAAAAAAAATCCAGTGCCAGCACTGCCAAGAATTTAAAAGTGTCCCCTGGTAGTAATTGTCCGTTTTCATTAATTTACATCATCTTTAATATAGGGGGGAAAAGGGGACCAAGAAAATACTATTTTAAGTATGGAGCAAAACTGCTTTCATTGTTCAGCCATATAAGGAAATTCGATGCGACAGAGCCAGGGCAAGCAACGACAGAGCACTAATAACCAAGATGCTTCTGTTTTAAATTTAGGAACAAAGAGGAATAGACACTAACTGGATGGGTCAGGTACAGAGAGCCATGATAGCACTGCCATCCTCTCATTTCTCAAACTCAGTTATTCCAGGCATTTCCAGGTTAATGGAGAAGGGACTGAAGAATGGCCGACACCCATTCAAGAATTCCAGAAAATATTAACAGTGATGCTATTCATCTTCCAAGCCACGTGGGGAAATGTTTTCACAGGAGTCCACACACCACGGCTTCAAACATGCTCTTCCTTGCATAAATTAACTCTTAGGAGAAACGTCTCGAACAGCACAGCCTGGTTGGTTGCCATTGAGCTGGTCCTGCTGACTTGTTAAGCCATTCAATTAGCTGCCTGAACTCAAAGAAAGTTCATCTAAAAGCCTCAGTTTCTCCTTCTGTAAGAGCAAGTGTGATAAATAGTAACTATTTAATGCACCTGTGAGGATTAAATATGAACATTGTATTACCTGGCACTCAACATCTTCACATTCTCGCCATCATCACTATCACTTCAGTCGCTACTATTGTCTCCACTATGAATGAGCACAACACCACCACAACCATACCATCACCACCACAAGCACATCATTCCCAAAGCCACCATCACAATTATCACCTTCATCTCCACGCCAAACACCATGTCATAACCTACCATGAAAACCGCCATCACCATCACCACCACCCCTCAAACCACATGCCGTCAGTACTACAGCCATCACCTCTAATGCCACTGCCTTCACCTCCACCAACCATGATCACCCCACTGAGATCTACCACAACCAATTCTATAATCACTGCCATTACCATCACCACCACCATCATCACTTCCACCACGAGTACTGGTACTATCGTCCTCATTTGCCATGGGATAGAAAAATCAGCTCAGAGCTGAAAGCCACAGGAAGTGGAAGGTAACAGAGATGGGGCTCTTCAAGTTTCCTCGTGAATTCATCTGCAGCATGAGGAAATCAAACATGGAAAAATGGAATGTCCTTGCATTCAAGGATCAAAGGCTTCAGAATACCAGACTGCAAAATGCTTAGGTCCCCCAAGGAACAGGGTACTACACACAGAAGATATCCTTGGCCATTTTATACTTGAATTATCAGCTACACTGAAATCCCGGCTGCCCTGTGATTATGATCATCAGTATGAAAGGCAAATGAACCAAGTTGTGCCACTGGCTCTGTTTTTGCTCCTTACCTCCCTATAGTCATCTGTCATCACACAGCACAATGCCTATCCCCTATGCGTCCTTGTCGAAACACTAAGAAGGAAAGAACATGTCATCTGGAGCACGCAGTGCTCAGGAGGAAGGCAGGAAACAAAATGACATTGTTTACTTAGCCTGGTTTTAGGAGACAGCTGCAGTCCTATGAAAAGAAAGGGCCCTGCCCGGCTCAACACTTAGCAAATAGATGGGTATTATGTAGATCTGTGTTGAGCCAGGGAGGAAGCAAGGAGATTACTTATAACTTTGCCCATGTTGTTGATTGCTTGTCTTCCTTCGGGAATTCTGGATTTTCCCATTCCAAGAGAAGAAATCACAAGAATGGCACGAGCTGAAGACCTGCCTGCTGAGTGGGCCCCTCCTGCCAAGCTTCTCTGCACTGGCTTCCCCATGGCAGCTGTCAAAGACCTGACACTTGGATATTTTATCCCTTTGCCCCACCTGACACAAAGCCATTGCACCCTGGCACCAAGCATCTTCCCCACCCCAACGACGAATCTCCAATAACTAGATTTCAGTAACTCTGACAGAACACATCAGGGATATTTTATAGGTAATATCTATCCAGTTCCCATAGTATTACAATGTTGCCCATAGGGAAATATCCATATCTCAGCTAATAAGGACAGAGCAACAAAATAACAAATAACCCTTTGATAGATGTAACACACTCCAGATTGCTCCATTCAAAGGAATTGGGCAAAGTATGTTTAACTCTCCTTCCCTGGTTTCTGATGTCCTCAGGAAGGAAAGAGGAGCTCTTTCCACTTCTCTACGTAGTAGAAAATCAGCTTCAATTTTATAAGATAAAGGCAGTAGGCTTGCTGAGCAAACGGCATCATGATAGGTGGCAAAATGGGTCAAGGACAGCTCAAGTAGCCACAGGATTAAAGTAAATCGAAATCATTTCTAGAAACCAAGGCCTCATACACAAAAACAAAATAAAATAGTGTTTCACACTAATTCTTGTACTTTTCTTCAGAGACTGGAAAAGGCACTGTGGTGCAATGGGATACGGATGTATACCGATTCGCTCCCCAAGTGTCTCCAAAGCTGGAGCTGGGCCAAACCGTAGCCAAAAGCCAGGAAATCCATCAAGGTCTCCAAAATAAGTGTCAAGGGCCTACGTATTTCTTGGACCATTTTCTTCTGCTTTCCTGAGGAGCAGATAAGTGGCGGCACAGTCAAGACACAAACCTGCGCCAGTGTGGGAGGGATGCCTGCATTACAGGTGGAAGATAAATCTGTTGCAAGACAACACTCACCCCTCCATCCCAATCACTTGCATTGGCACATTTACAAGAATTTTACATCAAATATCACTTGTACATTATCTTAATAGTTTACATGTAGCAGAAAAAAAATTTCTATAATGCACATTTTTGAGTGTTAGATTCAAGGTAGTACTGCTAACAATCCTTTCTGGTTAGCGATATTATATCCACTACATTTTTTCTTCAGTTCTAATTTCTCCACACACAATTACCCTATTTGATCACTAAGCTAGAAAATGGCTCAAATAGCTGGACATTCAGTACCCACACTGGCGATCTAGACAGAGTTCCAGGCTCCATCTTCACCTGGCACAGTCCTGGTTATTTTGTGATTTGGGGAGTAAACCAGGGGAAGGAAGTCGTCTGTCTCATTTTCTCATTTGGCAGTACATCAGTGAATAACAACTCAGTCACTTTCTCCCCGTCTCTTTGTATTTCAAGTGAATATGACGTTAAAAATTCCATACGGGAGTGCAACACTGATAATACAGAATCAAAAATCGAAAGGAATATTATTTCCCCTGGATTATGATGTCTCCAAATGTTATGTATACATTTTCTTTTTTAGTCCTATATACTAGCAAAAAAAAAAATCCTTTAGATATGTCAGAGCTGTAATTGTTGTGAGCCCCGGCATAATTCATTGAAGAGAGTAACAACCACACATGAACATATGATAGTTACTACAATATCTATCCATGATAGAATCATGGCCTATTTCATCACACTGTGGCTAAGAATCCCTATCCCAGTAAGCTGATCTAAGTAATATGCTATGTAAAATTGCCAACGTACATGTTTTGTCAATTCTGCGTCTTAAATATGTAATACTTACGGTCTTCAAATCATCTAGAAAATGCTATTGTTCTAAGCTATAATTAAATACTTAAGTTTGGATTATATTTGCTTTAGTCAACTTTAACATTTTCCAGAACAGTAAGCAAACATCCCATGATGTCCTGTAATGCTTTCCCAGGCTGGTTCATATTTCGGCTACTCTATTTCCCTTCCATCTCCCAACTTGTGGCCTGGGAAAGCATTACAGGACTAAAGAATCACCAAGCAGAAAATGTTCCATTAAGAAATAAAGATAATGACCGGGACAAGTATGGTGGCACACCAGGCTAATCCTATGCCCTATAGTGCCAGCATTCAATATGGGCACTGGTTCATATGACAACTGCTCCACTTCTAATTCAGCTTTCTGCCTGTGTACTGGAAAAGCAACAGATGGTCCAAAGCCTTGGGACCCAGCACCCACATTGGAGACCTGAAATAATCTACTGATTTCTGGCTTTGGATCAACTCGATTCTAGCCACGGAAGCTAGCAGATGGAAGATCTCTATCTCTCCTCTCTGCAAAATCAGCCTATCAAATAAAAATAAGTAAATTTGTTTTAAAACATTACTTCTAAGCTGTGAAGATACACACATATGTATATGTATACATAAATTAAAATTGCATTTACTTATTTTTAATTGCAATGCAGAGAAATATCTTCCCATTACTAGTTTACTCCACAAATTATTGCCACACCCTACACTGGTCCAGGCTGAGACCAGGGGAGAGGAGAGAATGGGATGCCCATCGATTCAGCCTTTAAATGCCCACAAGGGCTGAGGCCTGGCTGAGATGAAATTGGGAGCTGTAAGCAGAACTCAGGAGTACACCAGGTAGCAGGAACCCCATCACTTCAGCCATTACCACTGCTTCCCAGGGTCCATATTGACCAAGAAGCTGAGGTCAGAGCTGGAGCTGGGAGTCACAGCCAAGTATTCCAATATGAAGTATGTCTGTGTGTGTTCATGTATATATGTATCTTTATACATATGTATATATATATATAAATATGTGTATGTGTATATGTATATACATACATATGTATATATATATTTATATATGACATATTTTTTAACTCTTGAGGGCTAAGCTCAACTTCCACTCCCCAAATTTTCACCATCAATAGACCCATTGCATTTACAGAGCTTGCCAGTAACTATAACCTAAGGAGAAAACTAAAATCAAAACTATAGGGGACTTGCACTGGGGTATAACAGTTTAATCATCTACCCTCAGGGGCCAGTATCCCACATGGGGCACAGTTTGTGCCCCAGCTGTTCTACTTTCTAGACAGCCCTCTGTTTATGGCCTGAAAGAGCAGTAGGATAGCCCCAAGTCTTGGGACTTTTGCCTGCAAAGGAGACCTGGAGGAAGCTCCTGGCTCTGACTTGCATCAGCTCAGCTCTGGGTGTTGCTGCCCTTTGGGGAGTGAACCAGCAGATAGATCTTTCCCTCTCTCTCATTCTCTGTAAAAATCTGCCTTCCCTATAAAAATAAGTCTTTACAATAATTAAAAATTGTAGAAAACTATATGGACCTTATCACTGCATTTATGAATACAGCATTTTCCTCTTGCCAAGATTTCATTTTTCAAATTAGTAAATACAGTAAATATGAAACTAGGAATTGGCAATCTGGAATGTCACTTGGAACTAATATATAGACATATTATTAATTCCTGCCAACTTTCACCAATTCTACAAATTCTTTTACAATTTTCAAAAGGAATGTTAATTTCTGAGGATCGACATCTCATGATATTCTCTTTAGGAACTGTAAAATCAAGTGAATTACACAGGGTAAATATTTTAAATTATGCTTGGCAGAATAAGTTACCAAATCATTATCAGTATTATTCCTGAAACCTCTTCTACATTGTGCCACTGCAAAGAAAGTAATGATAGCAAAATAGATAAGCCTGATTTGCCAATAAACCAACACAGAACCATTAGTCAGAGGAAGCAAGACTATGCTCTCATAAAGAAAACATTAAATCAAACATCAACTGAGTTATACTTAAGGCCTACCCTTGTGATTTTATTTAATGAAAGAGATCTTTAGTATCATTGAGAATGTTCTTCATGAGTGCTCTCTAAAGTGGAAGGTTAAATAATCGAAATGATTAGAAGAGATCATGGGGAAAAATTCCTAGCAGGCAAACAAAATTTGTGCCAAGCCAGGGAAGATTGCATTCAATGCAAGACCTTTGGAAAAGTTCTACTTGGCTATCACAACATTATGTTACCATATTCTTAGCCTCCGGTAATCAGTATCCTTACAAAACCTATGCCAGTAATTTGAACAGTTAACAGAAGAATCAAAACAGCATACTTTGGAACAAAAACACTATTACATATCAGAGGGTAGATATTAAAATTTTGCTTTGCTTGATTTCATTTTATTATGCTTCATAACCATTCATCTATATGAGACAACATCAAAGAGAAATAAAGACGATGATAGTCCCCTATGGGAAAACCTGTACACTTTGTTGATCTACCCTTGGTCTCTCTGTACCCTTAGTAGAGGAAACTCCACATTTGAATGCACTTATCTGCTACTTCAACATAGTATGTGCCATTAGCACAAGACTTTAACTATGTAAAATGGTTCTTTCCTTAAAATTTTGAACTGCCAATGACAGCCCACATAATCATTCATTGGACACTTGTTGCATTCTAGAGTTCCTTTGGCAGTTTGGATAAGGTTCGTTAGGTCAAATCTTCTGTCTTATTTTCAGCAAGTTAAGTACAAAACCCTCTTGAGCAAGAAGGGATGATCAATTCTAGCTACTCACTGCTGGGCACTCTGGGTGACAAGATGATTGTCATTGTCAAGTGCCAACAGGGAGATAATTGTTACCCACCTCTATTCTCTGGCTTGCTCTCTGCCAACTAGGATACTGAGACAAAAGCATCTTATTGTTTTCCTCATCATTTTATCAAACAAAGCAGCTTGTTTAACCATGTAGAGCGAAACCAGACTGAGCTAAGTAAGGGCTGTATGGCTTTCCCCTCACTGGCATGGAGCTGAAGAAGGAAAGTTGGCCATTAGTCACAATTAATCATTAGCACTCAAGCAGGATCATCTTACAGTGTCGCAAAAAACAATGTCAGATAAAAGCCACAGCAAGGTTTTAGCCAGGTTTGGTATCCAAGACACTTTTTGAAATGTATTTCCTTTGAGTTTTCTGTATTTGTACTCACCAACAAAACTGGAGGCCTAGTATAGTTTAGATTCCTTTGCAGTGCACAGACTATGACTCGACAGAATCTGCATTGTTAAACCCATCTTAAGAGCCCAGATAAACCTTGTCAGAGCATTCATTTCATCATGTCCTATAATGTCCTTAAAATATGCAAAAGTATAGAAGTTAAAGTAAAATCCTGGTGTCAAAATTCAGGGCTTTGTGTATGAAGCCGATTGCTGAGTGGCTTTCAAGCAAGGACTGTTACACATGAACACTTTCAAAATTACCATTCCCCATGACAGTTTAAGCGTACATATACTCACATTCACAAAATACTCAACAAGCCCACCACACACACACACACACACACACACACACACACACTGATAAATATATATCGCGATCTGCGTGACTTACACAATCTCGTCGTTCTGGAACTCGAGCTCTCCACAAGTGTCCTCAAAGTCCTCCCCTCCACCTCTGGCAGTTCCTTCAATGGTTTTATAGGGAACAATAACATTTCCTCGAGCTCCAGATGTTCTCAACACTTTCACCTCCATGATGCCAATGCTCTCACTCACATGGGTCACAGCTTCCTCAAAGGTAAAGATGCCCGCATGGTCATCATCAAAAATAGTTACGGTGGCAGTACAAGGGGATCCCAGGCAGGCAAAGGTAGAGACATGATTGGCTTCCAGTATGCCATCCTCAGAAGTTTCTGAAGATACTTTGACGTTGCTGAGGTGCACAAGGAAATTTTCATCTTCCTCAAAGATATCATCATCAATGATGCCAACTCGAATTTCCTTCTGGGTCTCCCCAGGCTTAAAGACCACAGTCCCTTCAGTAAATTCATAGTCAGACCCAGCATTGGCTGTCCCATCCTCTGTTCTGAAGTCAACGAACACAGTGTTGGTCAAATCACCCCCTCGACGGATAATGGTCAGAGCCACAGTACCACAGTTCTCCAGACACTGGTAGGTTCCTTGTTCAAAGAAGATCTTGCTAACTGGATCGTTTTCAGCCACTTCCGTGTTGACCTCATGCATGCTGACAGCCTTCCTAGCTTGGTCAGCGGCATGCCTCTTTAAAATGTTGCCAGCTCCAGTCATCAGGCGAGTAGCCTGAATGCGGTAAAAGGCTCGACTCTTTTGCTGCTGACTTAGGACTTGGTAGTTTGCTAACTCTATTAATTGCTCTATTTCCTTCTCTGGATGCTTCTGCTTCAGTTCCTTCAGAATCCTAGCCATTTCTCGCCTAGCCTCTTCATCATCTTGGTCTCGCTCATCCACCTCCAGAACCAGAGCACCATCTAAGAAATTGTCAACATGAGAGTTGACCACTTTCCCATCCATTTCAATTTCAGTCTTGGAAGATGGCCTGTCTCCTTCGTGTTCAATAATCATTCCTCTCTGTTTACCAGCCCGATACCTTTTGTAGACATACTTGTAAAACAGAAGCCTCCTGTCTGCTACCCAAGCAAACACCACACAGATGGGAAAAAAGAAGAAAGTAAGTAAACCTTCCCAGACCTCCACAACACCAGGCGAGATAACAGACAAGATGATGTAGAGCCAAGTATAGGCAAATATGCTCCAGGCTGCAGTCACAAAGAATACACGCAGGTGCTTTATCTTTCTGGTCTCTCCATCTGGGACCACATAAACACAAAGCGCAATGATGATGAACATGTTGAAGGCAGCACTTCCCACAATGGTGCTAGGACCCAGGTCTCCTGCAGTGAAGTTATGGCCGCACACTTCGATGACTGAAAGCAGAATCTCTGGAGCAGAAGATCCCAGGGCCATCAGGGTCAAGTTAGAAACGGTCTCATTCCAGATCCTCACAGTAGTCTTGGTGGTCTCTCCATTGGGCTTTTTGATGGTAATTTCTTTTTCTTGAGATGTAATGACTTCTATTGAGGACATGAACCTGTCAGCTATGATAGAGACTCCGAGAAACATGTAGACCATGGCCACAAAGTATACAGTAGCTCTAGCAATCTTGTCCCCAAAAGAAGGATCTTGGGGCTCCCAAATGGGCAAGATCACCCCTTTCTTACAGTAATATGAGCCGGTACATTCAGTTTCATTTCCTTCCCCTTCCATTTCTGTCTCAGCACTTATATGGTCCACATGGGAAAACAGGAGAGCCACAATAGCTAACAGACGAAATCCCATGGAGAATGTGGAGGAGAGCCTTAATCTCAACATGTTGTACGATGCGACTTGCAACGTTGCCAACCTGCTGAACATAGGATGGGGCAGACAAAGATCAATGAGTTACTTATTTTTATGAGATCCTTAATGGGTCATTATTCTGACATCATTGTTGATTAAGGAATTTACTGTTCAGTCTCTGAAGTTTCTAAGCATGATCTCCATTTGCAGAGCAACATAGACAATTGACTTTTAGAAAAGTTCACTTACAGTCTAGTCTTGACTACTACACAGTAGCCAATATAAAAATCGGTGAAACTATTTATTACTATATACCAAATATTTTGAGATTCACACAAGATTTTGCTAGTATTCCTGTTTTCCATTTTCAAGAAATGTATGTATATATAATCTATATGTAAAAACTGAATATGAAAATTAAAAATTGTTAGATATTAAAATTTTAAAAAGAAACTGAAGTGTTTAAAAGAAAATCTAATTTAGCCTCAAAGAAAACTCATTGACACAATTATCTTCATAAGATTGGTGCAGTGAAATGTCAGACCCTGAAAAACCCTCCAAGTCCTACTGTCTTCAATTCAGGGTTATACCTTACAATGTTTTGTTAATTGTTATTTTCCATGATACAGTTTTGTAGGTATAGGGATCCCCTTCTAATTTCTTTCCTTCCTCCCTATGCTCCCTCCAACAGCATCATTTTCCCCCACATTATTACAACAGTACAGTCCTCAGCAACAGTCACGCGTCCAACATTCTCCTATTTAATTGCAGAATGTCATGGCAGGCATAGACAAAGGTAGAAAAGCTGGTATATTGTTAAGAAATATTTAGCTTTCATTGGGAATCTTCCTTTTATTCAGAGTAGAGATGTGTATTACAACTTATCTTTACATTCCGATATGCTAGTTTCCATTATGCAGTTTACCTATTCATCTAATTATCTTGTATTTCTGCATGAATGCTGCCTTATATCAGAGAGAATGTATGATATTTGTCCTTTGGGGATTGGCTTATTTCACTGAGCATGATGGTCTCTATTTAGTATGATTTTGTTGCAAATTGCACACTTTCATTCTTTTTAATGGCTGAGCAGTATTCCATGAAATACAGGTACGAAAAAATGCTCAAATTTCTGAGCTCTTGGGAACACACAAATGAAAACCACACGGAGGTTCTACCTAACTCCAGTGAGATTGGCCTACATTGGAAATGGAATACCTGCTGGCATGGACAGGGGTTGGGGAGAAGCCATCCTTCACTGTTGGGAATATAGGCTCATGTACATGTACCCACTATGGAAGTCAGTACGGAGAGAGCTTAGACAACTGAAAATTGATCTACCACATGACCCAGCAATCCCACTCCTGGGAATATAACCAATGGAAGTTCTGCATCTGAGAATGTGACACCAAACCCTGTATTGATAGCAGCACAATCCACATTATTAAAGACCTGGAAACAACCCAAATCCCCATCAAAAAGGGGGTGAATAGGAAACTGTGGCACATTTACCTTACATTTTATTACACGAATTCATGCCAAACTTACTCGGAACCACAGAATCATATCAAGAGTGCCTATGGCCAAAGCTCAATGGTATTGTTTAGAGAAAAAAATTTGGCTATAACGCACTATTTTCAAACATTTCATTTTTAAAAGCATCTTTTGATGCACATACACTTCCTTCTAATTTGCAGCAAGCCAAAATCTGAGAAACACAGCTCTTCACGTCTTGATACACAGCCTGCCTTAAAATCTCCAGGCTTGCCACAATAGGAACAAGAAATTGTCAGGCCGGGGTCTAGTCTTAAGAGCCTAGCAGGCTATGAAATCAGCAGTTTTAGCCATAAATATCCTTCCTTGGTATCCATGTCATACTTTCCATGGTCATTGTAAAAACACATTAGTTCTATAGAGGGCTTAAGTGACCAAAAATGTAGCAGCAATAGTTCCATCTAGATTAGCTCATGTGGCATCATAACTGTGACCACAAAGTATACATGTGAAGAAGGGCTGTAGGCAATTAGTGCTATGGCAACAGAGTCACCAAGTATCTCGAGGCTTGGCGAGCAAAGCAGCCTACTGAGCCTCCATGACCCTAACTTCACCCACCAACTCATCCAGAACACAGCTCTCACCTTATATGATCCCTGTCTGCAAGGCCTGTGCTAAAAAGTGGGGAGACCACTGCGAAAGGAAGGTCTAAAAAGAGGAACAGGGGAACTCTCCACTGGAAAACCTTGTAGGAGAAATGAAGCTATGATATCATCCTAAGAAGTGATAGCAGCTGACCCGGTCAGAGTATAGCCTCCTGATCTATGAAGAAGTTCAAAAGACAGATGGAGTAGAAAATGTAGAGCTCCAAACTTGCCAAGAGCCACCCCCACACATCCAAATTCTGAAGCCCATGTCCGCCGGTGATGGTCTGCACTCTGAACCTAACTCAGGTCCAGGAGCACTCCCCTTCCTGGCACATTCAGGCCAACGGAGATCTGACTAGTGTAAAACCCTTTGCATTTGTCACTAAAGGAGGGAGGAACTACCTTAACACTAGGTTCAAACTAAAGATCAACAGCAGATGGTTGCTGTGGTAAGATGTCCCATCTTAATGATCAACAGAAAAGACATTCCAAAAAGTACAAATGCATGCTCAGTAGGTCTATTTTTGCTATTGCAAGGTCTGGGAAGGCTGTAGAAGCTGCTTAAACCAGGTAATATTCAATCAGTCGGCAATAGTAAAAATCTAGGTCCAATGTCTTCAAGCACCCCTCTATCCTATGCATTTCAGAATGACCTGTTGGGTTCTCTAAGTCTCAAGAATGTATGAATCAGCAATATGCTTCTGTCTTTAGTGAGTTTATACTTTTATGAGGAAATAAATATGTGGTTAAAAACTGCTGTAGTGAGGACAAGGCCAAAATCTAAAGACAGGCATTCTCTATGTGCACCAGTGAACTCACACACATGGCATGCAAGGTCTTATATTAGATCCATAGGAATCTCTTTTGACAAGGTGAATTTTGCTCAATGCCCTATAAAAAGGAAAGGATCAGGCCATGTCTAACCTCTGGGAAGAGAATCCCATGCCAATACAAAGGTCCTGGTGGGAACTAGACTTAGCATAGTCTAGGACACAAAGAAACCAGTATAGTAAGTCAATATGTAGGAGAGGACCAGAGTTAAGCAGTGAAGACACAGAAGAAAAATACATCATGGGAGGGCCCGGTGGTGTGGCCTGGCAGCTAAAGTCTTCACCTTGAACGCACCAGGATCCCATATGGGTGCTGATTCTAATCCCAGCAGCTCCACTTCCCATCCAGCTCCCTGCCTGTGGCCTGGGAAAGCAGTCGAGGATGGCCCAAAGGCTTGGGACCCTGTACCCGTGTGTGATACCTGGAAGAAGTTCCTGGATCCTGGCTTCGGATCGGCATAGGATCGGCTGTGGTGCTCACTTGGGGAGTGAATCATCGGACGGAAGATCTTCCTCTCTGCCTCTCCTCCTCTCTGTATATCTGACTTTCCAATAAAAAAAATAATAATAACATCATGGGCGCACTCAGGCCCCAGAAAGGCACGAGCCTTCGTGGGAAGACATGGACAAAAGCCAAGACTTTCTGTTCAGGATGCAGTGCCCGATTTTCCTTTTGGAGCCGTCTCTCCTGATTTTTTTTGGAGACAGGATAAAGGTCATGCAATCACCACTATAATTCTTTTCTAATCTGGCATCTGATCTTCAGAATATGGAAACGCTTTCCACTTACTCTTTCTACCTAAAGGTCTGTTTTTCATTGAAAGGCACATTTTACAGAGAAGAGACAGGAGAGAGGGCTTCTATCCATTGCTTCACCTTAGTGATTACTTCAAACATGATCAGGATGATATCATATTGAGTTAATTGTATCAGTCTTAGAAACATTCCCAATTGGCCACAATGATCAAAGTGGAGCTGATCCAAAGCCAGAGCCAGAAAACTCCTTGGGGTCTCATACATGGCTACAGGAGCCCAAGGACTTTAGCCATCACCCACTCATTTCCCAGGCCACAAGCAGGGAACTGGGTCAAAATTGGAATAGCAAGACCAAATCTCAGTGTTTATACAGGATGCCATGGCTGCAGGTAGAGGATTAGTTTGCTACATCACCACGCTGACTGCACCTCTAGGCCTTTGAGCATAGGTTTTTCTATGCCCCAAACTACCTTATTATTATTATTGATGGGAAAGTCAGATGTACAGAGAGGAAGAGAGAGGCAGAGTGGAAGATCTTCCATCTGCTGGTTCCCTCCCCAAGGGGCCACAGTGCCCAGAGCTGAACTATCTGAAGCCAGGAGCCAAGAGCTTCTTCCAGGTCTCCCATGCTGGTGCAGGGTCCCAAGGCTTTGGGTCATTCTCAACTGCTTTCCCAGGCCATAGGCAGGGAGTTGGAACGGGAAGTGGGGCTGCTGGGACATGAACTGGTGCTCCTATGTGATCCCAGCATGTGCAAAGTGAGAACTTTAGCCATTAGGCTACTGTGCTAGGCCCCCTTATTTCCTTCTTAGAGGACATTTTCAAAATAGGACAACAGCAAATCAGTCAATTGTCTGGCCAAGTACTGACCAAGACCATTGTTACATGTATCAATGAAGCTAATATTTAGGATAACAAGCATTATTACATTACACTGCTCCTAGTGCTGTTGTTTCGATTAGAGCACAATTGGGCTGTATGACGTACAACACTCTAGCAGTAAGCCTACACAGGAGGTACTGCCTCGATCTGGATGTGGGATAACAGACTTCAACATAAGAACTTGTTCAAAGTCAGATTATAAACTCCTGAACAAAACTCAAATTGGAAATGTTTCTAAGACTGATATAGTTAACTCAATATGATATCATCCTGATAATATTTGAAGTAATCTCCAAGAACTTTTGGTCTTAACTCACTCACTGAAAAGCACCTAGGCTTCCATATAGGATTAGGAAAGTCTGTTTAATGAAGCTACGTGAGGTTTTCCAACACCATGGGTTTTAAATTATGAGTTAGACACTCAAATAGGTAAGCATAACATCTGTGCTACAACATGTGGGCTGGCATGTTCCCGGAGACAGCCACCCTCCCCTCCCCTCTGGAACAGCAAGGGCTGCTAACTTCTTATCTACTATCAGGAGTCAAGAAAAAGTACAGCCCATCATTTCTGCCAAACCACATGTTCTCAACCAAAAGATGTCCGATGTATAAAGTGGGGCAGATAATCCATGACAAAGAAAAAGATTTCTGAAGCTAAATGAAAGCATCATATTTAAAAGATGACAGCATTACGAT